CAAATTGTGATCACATGACCACAGGATGCTGCAATGGTCATAAATATGAGGACCAGTCATAAAGTTATATTTTTTCAGCCCTTATAACTTCTGCGGTCGCTCAACAGAACAATGGTTAAGCAAGGACTACCTACAGTCCACTATTTCCCAGCCTACGAATGCATTACAGTACATTCATGTATCTAAGTGTGTGAAGATGTAACCATGGGAACACGTAAAGAATGAAGAAAATTAAATTAAATTCTTATTTAGATTTTCCATTTTAAATACCTGGTCACAGAAGGACTGTAAAATAGAAGCTAAGTATTCTGAACATTGCTGATGAATGATGTTTTCCCCTGCAGTTTGCATCAAAGTCAAAAGTTCTAGGAAAACTTCGGTGTATTTTTCATCCCCTTTAGCAGTTCCATTAATCAGGTGCAAAATGGCCAATTTACAAGCTTTGTGTGAAGCCAGAGCATCAAATAAAGCAAGCAAGCGAGTGGTCTGACCAGTGTATTGTTTCTCCTTATCTTCTGGGTTGCTGAAATGATGAGAAATTTCTTTATTAGGATGATAGCACACTAGATAGAAATGTAAATCGAAACAAACATGTTTGAATATTTCCATTCACCCCTTTCACTCTCTCTCTCAATATAGATATATAGATATATATAATACATATATACATATATATAGATATATGTAAACAATGTTCATTTCTGCACAAATGTAAACTACCACCTATCTGAAAAGTTACCAGTGTGAGGGATTACTACCATAGTTACATGGGTAATAATAATGTTAGTGGTATTTAAGTGGCTTGAATGAAAACAGATATTCAGGAGATGGAAGCAAATTCTGGAGGACTTTTTCCGGCTTCACCCACTTCTCTGTACTAATCTTCTAACTTCTAACTGTTCTAGAACTATAAAGAAATGAAATATGTTTTGATGTGTAGTTCCCTAACACTTGACACACTATTCAAAGATCAAACCTGGTTCTTGCCCCCAACCCCACAATACACACTGGTGCTACAGAACACATTCTGTAGCTAGACGGACAATCACATAACTGAAGGAACAGAAGGCATAGGGTCAAAAGCAACTGATTAAGTGTTGAATAAGATAGGAAAGGAGAATGCACATGACCTCTTACGTCTACATTCAAGTGTGAGAAGGCAAAATTGTAACCAATGAGATCAACTTCTCTATTTTTGACAAATCATTAAACAAATTATTAGACAATAATTGTCTTGTTTAGGCAATATTAAATAAGACATTGAAATGTACCTTTGAAGATCTTCTACAAGTAGATCTAAGACAGTTCTCATAATAAGGAGAGCCGTTGGTGAGGCCAAGTCACACAACTGTACACAAATGCGCCTTAGCATATGCTGAATGGGCTGGCAAGTGGAGCCAGAAAAGGATCGTACTATTTCTTGCAGTAATTTTGCCTGGACATGAAGATGCATGCTCCAAAGTTTTCTAGTATTGAGAGCTACTGATAAGTCATGTGGTTCAATAACCTATGGAAAACAAGATAATCCTTAGAAATGCACAATAATCATTGCTATTCTCTACTCTGGAATTTCATAGAAAATGTATTGCCAAGGAGAGTATGTCAACTGGAATTCATATTCAAAATTATTCCCTCAAAACAGCCCTAGAGAGGCACATAAATGGAAACAAGTTTGCACAGCCAGGTGCTGCATACAAATATCCCTGTGGTACCTGGCCCTATATTTTCCTTGGTTCTCCAGACTATATTTTGTTTAATGATTCTAGACAGTAATAAAGCCAACTTCCGCATGTATACAATATAATTATATTAATAAAAATAAAATTCATAAATATGTTTCATAGCTCCTCAACTGTCAGATCAGCTTATTTTTAAAATCAGTTGGTAGTTTTTATTTACCTGAGTGGTCTGCATAGGCAGTGGAAGAGGCAGTAGTTCTGAAAGTAATATAAGGCCAGAGAAAAATCCTTCTGGAATTCTTAGAACAGAAGAAAGAACCTCTCTTAGCATTAGTGACCAAGTATTATTGGCTAGAGTTTCTTCGGAGATAGTTAACTTCTCATTAACCCCCTGGGTGAAAGTCAACAAGATGTCAACAATATCATTCTGGATTTTCTGTTCATCACTGTCCAAACGCCCAGAAAGTGTTATAGAACATAAAAGCATGTGTAAAGAAATAAGTGTTGAAGGAACACGCATATCTTTAAATTCAAAGGATCCTCCCCGTAGCAATTCAGTCAACATGGTCTTCAAAAGTGTGAGAGTACATCGGGCCATAGAGATTGTAGTGACTCTGTGAAGAGTTGTTCCCATGTTGACATGGAGCCTCCAGGGCTGAATAAGAATGCTGTTTAGTTTTTGCAGAATTCTGATAAAAGTGTCCATTCCTTCAGAAGAGAAGAGCTGAATAACTGCAAGGTTCCATTTAAGGTCCTTCTGCTGACCTATATGAATGATAGGAGAAATAATATATAGTCTTTATATTTTATTCTCTATTTTATTATTAAGTACAGGTAGTCCTTGACTAGCAACAGTTCATTTAGTCACCATTCAAAGTTACAACGGCAATGAAAAAAGTGACTTATGACAGTTTTTCACACTTATGACCATTGCAGCATCCCCATGGTCACATGATCAAAATTCAGATGCTTGGCAACTGACTCATATTTATGATGGTTGCAGTGTCCCAAGGTCATGTGATCAGCTTCTGCAACCTTCTGACAAGCAAAGTCAATGGGAAAGCCAGATTCACTTAACAACTGTGTTACTAACTTAACAATTGCAATGATTCACTTAACAACAGTGGCAAGAAAGGGGCAAAACTCACTTAGCAAATGTTTCACTTAGCAATATACATTTTGGGCTCAATTGTGGTCGTTAAGTCGTGGATTACCTGTAATATAAATTGGATGCAATGATTCTGTTGGTGACCAAAGGTAAATATTTTTACATACTTCTTTCACACAGCAAAAATGAACTGAGAATTACTCCAGTGTGTGTATATAATCAATATACATATCCAAAGAACAATACATTTTACAATGTTTGTGAGTGTGATTTAATATGAATACATTCTACCAGTGCTTTTTTTCTAAAAAAAAAAAAAAAGTGCCGGAACTCACACATGTCATACAACCCGCCTTGCCTACCCTACAAAGTTCCATCCAAAAAAGGTGCCAGAACTCCGTTCTGGGCGTTCTACGAGAAAAAAAGCCCTGCATTCTACTGAATGAGAACTAAGAAGTTAAATATTGTTACCTTCAACAGGAGGTGGAGGACATGCAATATGACACAAGACACGAAGTGCTGTAGGGAGACCAACTCCTTCCTGAGTCATCAAGCTATCAATGTTCTTTGAAGTAAAGAAGTAGATAATGATTTAAAAATAAATATTCAAAAAGGATATATCTGATTTAACAGACAACATTGCTTCTGCACAAACAATGGAGAGATCAATTTGATTTTTGTACACAACCAAGAGAGTTACGCAAAAGCCAGTTCCCATTTTGACTAATAGTGTAGATTTTAGGACTTGAAGTTCACTTATACAGAAAGCACAGGGATATGGAAAGCCTGACTTATGTAACTCACCAGCAACTATTCAGCAGTCTAGCAATGGATTTGGTTCAAGATTTGGTCCTTCCTTATTGCACAATAAGCTTTGTTTTTAAAAGAGAACAATTTGTATATGTTCTGTTAGGTCACTATTCCAATATTTAAAATATTTGGATACCAAACTAAATGTTAGCATATATTTGTTCCACGAATATTTAAGTAAAACTGTAAATAGAATAAAGGGGGCTAAGGTAGGAGGACCAGTCTAGATCCCAATAAAGGAGAATATTTGTAGCTCAGGACTGAAATGAGGGACTAATCTAGAGTTTTAAGCAACTCAAAGTGAACAGCTATCATAGGATTGCCAATCCAATTTTTTCCCTTCCCAAAACATTTTAATTGATCAGCATGTCTACTTTCAACATAATCTGAACTAAAATTAACTTCAAAATACATTTGTTCAAAAAGATGAGTAGTTTGCTATTCTAATGTCATATTTATTTTTACTTTTTATTTATTAAATGTAAATGCCATTCATCTCACTGTCCAAGGATGGCAATGTAAAGGAAACCATGTAAAAACTAAACATTTGTTATATAGTACAGCAAAAATGCATTTCCCAATATGCTTTTAATTATTTATTTTACTGACCTGTTTAATATATTCAATGAGATTTGGGATGCAATTAATTTCAAATCGGACTGTTTTCAATGGCTCCAACCATTTACTAAGTTCTAAAAACAAACAAGATCATTTGATGAATGTTATATGATGCGTTCAAAAAAATGTGAAAACAATTAGAGCGGTTTTGATTGTAAAACACTGAATCTTAATAATGGAGACATACTTTGTCACATACGCACACTAGGAACATGGTACTCATTTTTAACCTTAAAGTCTAAGAAATTTTTATACAATTTTATAATCCAGTTTGAATATTTCCCATTATTTTTTTCTTACAATTCTGTATTTAAGATAATAATAAATAATGTAGTAAAATAATAAATAATATAGTAAAAGTATATGCTGCCCAATTCCAAACTCTAGATAGTTTACAATTATGAAAAATATTTGGAAAAAAAGAATATAAAAAGCACAAAAAACAGCACCAGACAAAAAAATAACAGTTGCAAACCCTCCAAGCCCAGAGGGGAACAAAAATGTAGGAAGGGATGTCAGTTGTTCTCCCAAAGGCCTGGGCAAGGTCTTTAAGGCCTTCTTAAAGTTCATATACAGTACAAAGGAACATATCAAGAACATTATTAAGGAAATATTTGGCTTATTTATCATAAGTAAAGACTGGTTAATCTGACAGCCAGAAGAAAGCCATCTTACTATATGATCAGTGAGATAGCATCTGTTGTGGTATTTGCTTCCTGATCTGTCCATATCAAAAGGCTGGCAAAGACACACTTTTCTTGCTTTCTCCCAAGGACCATGCACTGAGGCCTTGAGCTCTGCTTGCATACAAATCAAATGCCATTTCTAAGCATGCAGCCTTGGTAGCTGTGAACTTTACTACTTAGCAGCCCAAATGTGACTTCCAAGATTGGTTGGTTATATTGCTCGATATTATGGATCAGTGATGGCGAACCTTTTAGAGACCGAGTGCCCAAACTGCAACCCAAAACCCACTTATGCATCGTCGGCTGCCGGGTGGGTGTGGCCCATTGGGTGGGCATGGGTGCGGTGGTAATGGCAGACTGGGTGGGACTAAAAAGTTCAATCAATCAATTCCAACTTTGCAAGATCTTTTTTTTCCCCCGCGAGAAGTTGAAATTGACTGATTGATTGAACCTTTTTTTTTTTTTTTTGCACACAGCGGCGGAGGCCTAAAGCGAAAAGGTTTTATAAAACCCAGCTGAAGGTCTAGGGCTGGGGCGATGGCGCACGTGCCCACAGAGAGGGCTCTGAGTGCTGCCTTTGGCACCCGTGCCATAGGTTCGCCACCACTGTTATAGATGCCAACGTGGATTACAAGCACTATTTATATCTTATCTAGATTACAGATAACATCCATTACCTTCCCACCAGGAAAATAGCATCACAAACTAAAAATTGAATAATCCACAACAAAAGCCCTCTGTCCCCTGAAAGAGTATTTTTAGGAGTAGAGCATATTGGTTCCCTCACCCAAGAACTGAATTACAAATTTATCATTGAAATCATATCCTCCTCCCCAAGACTCTCATTCTCCCTGACAACAAATCAATGTTGTTCTGAGGTAGTACATACCAGAAGAACCAAACTATATACATCTAAACATCTCCAGTTCAGCCAGTTTGCATTCAAAAGATTGGACCTTTTTCCTGACAGACAGGATTGTTGGCACACACTCCCAGTTTATTCCTAACAGATGTCTTCCCTAAACTTGATATGTAAAGTTTTAGAAAATAATAAATCAGAAATATTGGGTTTTTTTATCTAGATGAATTTCACAGCAGAAGGAAAAACTATTCTGTACAACTCTTGAGACTTCTTATTCATATTGTATTCAAAAGCATCTTTCCACCAATGAAGTATAAGGCACATAAACCACCAACCTAGATGATTAATGAAATACCTTAAGCAGCTACGGAAACTGGACAGTATTACAAGTTACAGTAATTAATACAAATAAAATTAAGAAACTTTTAAGTATTATACTTTAAAGGAAACAAAATGCCTGAAAGTACACTTAATGTATGAAAGAAATCAGATGTAACCATCAGGATTGTCTTTTCCACTCAGTAGCAGACTATACACTACTTTTGACAGCACTTTTGATATTAAAACAAATCAAATTTATAACGTTGGGAAACAGCAGGTGATAACTATTCAGGGAACAGAAATCCCAATATTGTTTGGGAATGTAGAATGTAGGACCAGCCTACTTCATTTTAAAGCTGTACAGCAGTAAGTGATGTGGAAACAAGAGTTGATTTAAAGAATCTAAGCGATTCATCATTATAGAATATGAGTCTCAATATTTCTTTTAAATTATTTTATGATATCTGTCCGTGAATAGTATATTACATTCTTTATAAGAAGACTGCTAAAGAACCTAGCAATCTTAATATATACAATAGCAATAGTGAAACAGAATATCAGAAATATTTCTCCTACATCATTTAAAACATTGCCCAACATTGTCCAACAATAACAAACACCGTACCTTGTAATTTGGTATTATTTTCATCAGCTTTGCAAAGCTTCAACAGGGGTGCTGAGAACACCTCAAGCATCTGGACATCGCTTGAAGACTGTACCACCAGTAGAACAAGGATGCAGGCATAATTGTACGCAACTGACTTTTTTGATTTGGAATCACTGAAATGTAAGTTTAAAAAAAAAACACCTAGAACTTACTCATTTACTTCATATTACTTCATTTCATATTTTAGTCTTCATACTAAGCATAAAACCCAGAGATTACCGTATTTTTCGCTCTATAAGACACACCTGACCATAAGACGCACATATCTGCTTGATTAGTTTCCACCCATTGTTTCTTGTCTCGCCTTCTGGGGCTTTGGAAAATAAATTGATCCCCTCCTCTTTGTGGCAGCCCCTCAAATACTGGAATATTGCTATCATGTCAACCCTAATCCTTTTCTCTTGACTGGCCATACCCATTTCCTGCAACTGTTCTTCGTATGTTTTAGTCTCCAGGCCTTGACATTTTAGTCTCTCCCATCTCCCAGCAGAAAATTACAGGTAGCAGTTTTAAATCATGCAGCATAAGGATAATAACATTTGGAAAGAGAAAGAATATGCTGCAGCAGCCGACATGTTCCAGTCTTGTCCCTTCGCTTCCTCCAGGCTTCTCCCCCAACCTGCCTTCCACTCACCTTCCATTTGCTGTTTCGAGCCTGGGAAGAACACTCCTCCATCCTCCTATGGGTAAGAAGGAAGAGGAAGCTCCTCAGTCCTTCTCCTCTCCGCGACTTCCTTTCTAGCAATACTCGATGGTGTTGTGTTAGAGCGCCACCTAGTGACGTAAGGCTTCCCTGCCAGTATATGCTCTCCTCCCCTGCACTCAGGCTTCAGCTCCAGGCAGCATTCGCTCCATAAGACGCACAGACATTTTCCCCCACCTTTTTGGGGGGGAAAAGTGCGTCTTATAGAGCGAAAAATACGGTAAGTTTCCATCGCTGGCTTCCCACCCTCCAGAGATTTAGAGGACACATGGAAATCGCAGAAGAAGGAAAAGTAACTGTGCAAGAGGATTCCCACCTGCTCAGCATAGGATTCCATCTTACAGTATATTAAACATCGGAGACCAATGTAGTTATCATTAAAGTTGAAAGAGATTTTTATCAAGCCATTCTATTCTTTCATAATCCTTCCACTTTTAAAATGTATTATGCTCCATATGGAGAAAAGTAATTAAAAGCAAACAATAATCTTTAGAATAAAAAAATTAATAAAAAACCGTATTATTCTGAACTCAGTTGACATTTCAATCGATCCCATTACAGATAGTCCTCGAGTTATGATTGTAATTTGACTTAGAATTACCATCAATAAGCACAGCGGTTCTAAATCAAGTCACATGATTGCACTGCTTAGCGCAGCGGCTCCCAACCTTTTCTATACCCCGCACCCCTAGAACGCTTCCGATATATTCCCGCACTCCTTACAAAAGTTCGAAATAACGGCAACAAATTATGCATATACACTATAATTTTGAAAACCCAAGTTTTCGCACCCCCTTGGAATATCGTCTCACACCCCCAGGGGGTGCGACCACCCCAGTTGGGAGTCCCTGGTTTAGTGACAACAATCCAGGCAACCCTGGTTGATGTCATGACTCCAGTTGCACGGGGTCATTAAGTAGAAAGGAGGAAGAGTCTCAGGTAAAGAGCATGGGGGTGGGGTGGGGGAGCCCCTGGGTAGCTCAGTGCAGGCTGTGCACAAGTTGGGGGAGGAAGGTGTTGCAGTTTGGCTCAAGCTTAGGGAGACTGGGGAAAGAGGGTGCAGGGTGTGTACAAGCACAGGGAGGCGGGAAAAGAAGGCACAGCGTGCATGCAAGAGAAGGGCAAAACGACAACATAGTCATATGAGGGAAGAAAGTCTGGGAGTGGGGGAGACTTGTATCCTTTCCTACGGCCTTCCCCATTGACTTTGCTTGGGCGAAGCCTGCAGGGAAGCTCACAAATGGTGATTATGTGAGCATGGCACATTGCAACCAGTTTATGTGTAACTATTTCCCAAGTGCTCAAATTTTGTTCACATGACTACAGGAGTGCTGCAATGACCAGAACTCCCGAGGACCAGTCTTTAAGTCCCTTTGTTCAGCGCCATCACAACTTTGAATGGTCGCTGAATGAATGGCCGTAACTTGAGGACTACCTGCACAGGAGCCTACAGAGACGTTACTTGTCTAACACTTAGTGATGAGGCCAGTCACTCTCTTTCTGCCCAACCCCCCCTCACAAGAATGCATCTGTGGAACAAGCAGAAAGAAGCAGCATTATGTACACTTTCTTGAGCTACACAAAACAAAGACAGAATATTGTGAGTCCACCCATTACAGATATAAACCTAGTAATAAATCATTACCCTAATGCTTCTTTGGAATAGAACTCCATTAAAGTAATAAGGCTCTGGAGATTCTTCTCAAGGCTGAAGACATGGGCAACAGCAGCTCTTCCTACTGGGTTAAAAGTGATCAAGTAAAGATTATGAAGTGTTCCCAGGAGATCTGAATGGTCAGTTTCATCAGGGGCTATGCAACGCTGGAAGTGGCTGAATAGTTCTGAAATGCACTGCAGTGTCTGAGTCGAATGAAGAAGCCATAAGGGAAATGCTTCATCGCCTGCCCCATCTGTTTGCAGACCTTCTTCTTGATCGAGATCCGAAAACTGACAAAATGCTCGAACCAGCAAATTGGTGGCTTCATATTCAGAGAGGAAAAAAAGGAGACCTTTCTGTGACTGTGCTAAAAACCTCAGAATATCTCTGACAGACTGAAGCACTCCAGGATGCACATTTGTTATTGGATTGGACAACAGCAAAGTGACAGACTCCAAAAAATTGTGATTGTGGAGATACCTGAAGGAATGAAAATAGAAAGATAAACAATATTATATTGAAATAATATCTATCCACTACCTTTTCCCATAAGACAGCTAAGCTGCAACGTCAATATATTTGTATTACAAGGCAGCGTTGTGGTTTGGAATAGAAGGCAAATCCCACAAATGCAAAGTGGGATTAATTAATATCACATTAATTAATGTCACCAATATTAAAAGCAAAACTGATATCCATCTTCACTGGGGAAAGCAATTATGTTTGAAAGCGTTAGAGGTAAAAGGAAAGCAGCCCGTCAGAGAACACAGTGGCTGGACACCATCAAAGCTGACACCAGCCAGAGTATAGAACAGTGTTTCTCAACCTTGACAATTTTAAGGCGTGTGGACTTCAACTCCCAGAATTCCACAGCCAGCATTGCTGGCTGTGGAATTCTGGGAGTTGAAGTCCACACGCCTTAAAATTGTCAAGGTTGAGAAACACTGGTATAGAACAACTCAAAGTAGTAATGAAAAATCGGAAGATGTGGAGAGACGTAGCCCCTAGAATTGCCAAGAATCAGACACACGACTGAATGGATAACAGCATCAACATCATCATCATGATATTCATCTAAGCCTGGATTTAATTTCAATAGATCTGTATCTGTTTTTATTTAATTTATTTAATTAATTTAATTTATTAAATTAATTTATTTAATTTCAATAGATCTGTATCTGTTTTCGCATTAAAAAACATAAAAACATTATTTAATGTTTTACTGATTGCTATATATTTATTCAATCCAAGAAATCAAGAATATTTGTTAAAAAGTTAATTAAGGATTTTGCAAATCAGATGACCTCAAATGTCCCTACAAACTTACATTAATGGAGCAGATGGCTAATTATTGCTATTTTTATCAATATAAGCAGAAAGCACCACCACAGTAACAAAGAGATTACTACAATTTTCAAGGACTACAAAGTGGAAATACTGTAGGATTTTCAGGGAGTAGATTATGCACAATTTAGAGAACAGAATCTTCTCTTATAAACCTGAAGAACTCAGAATAGTACATTGGTTAGCAAGTATTAAGGACTTGAGAATTACCTATTGATATTACCTAGTCTTCAATTCTAAGTAAACATTTGAGTAACTCAAATCTTATTAATTTAAATGGGGAAAGTGAGCTGACTTGATAAGGAAAATGAGAAGAAATAAACAAAGAAATGGAAATGAAAGTAGTAAAGAGATTAAAATATTTCCTCTGTTAAATCAACAATCTTTATTAAATAATGGACAGGTATTATAAGAACATATTAAATATTGGAAAAAGAAATCTGGTGATCGTCTGGAACATGTAAGCAGAAATTCCCAAACTGGGTCAAGTTTCAACTCCAATTAGCCTAGGTTTGGCTTTTAAATATTCTGTGCAGTACCAATGGAAGTCTGATGAACTTATCTTGAAGGTACCAACTAGAAAAAACAGAATAAGCATAACTAAAGCCATCTACCAAAATCAAAATACAAATATACATACCTGAACAGAACTGGAAAAGGATCGTCCCTTTCTGGAGGCCCTGTAATACGTGCTGTTGTTGGGAAAGATTTCACAGGTGGCTGCACCATAGTGTGCGGGGCTGTCTCCATCAAATGCAAAATTTCATCTAAAAGGTTAATGAGTTTCTCAATTTCTCCTTCATTCATAGTGGAGGACTCCAAAAGATTGTCCATATCCATTGGAGCATCCACATCATTTTCATATTCCTGGTTGCCTCTTTCAGGCCCAGCATCTGGATCCTGCTCAGACTCAGAATGATTTGGAAGGGGTGGAGAATTTTCTGCTAGCTGGTCACCATTTTTTTTTACCTCAGACACAATCTCATAGAAGTGACATTTCTGTAAAATGGCAGAACCTGCAGTGACTACCCTTACAGTCTGATCCAGGAGAATAAGTTCCAACAGTCTCTGATAGCCACTTTTTTCACTGGCCTCCAAACTATTCCTCAAAAAAACTTCCATTCCTTCAGTCATGCTAATAACACTGTCCAAAGCTTTGAAAGCATTAAGTTTAAGGGAAGAGGACACATGATCCGCAAAGAGCAACTCAAATAAAGAATCAATTACTCCCCCTTGCAAGAGTGCTTCTATTCCTCGAGTTCCACATTCTGCCAGCGAAGAGACAAGTTTTGTCCCAGCTTTCAGCTGACGGACATTCAAAGCAATCGGTTGTCTCAAGGCTACTTGAAGATTTAAAGACTGCATTGTCCAGTCAACCAACTGGCTTAGGTAATCCTGGCTTGTATCCTTTAATTGCAAATAACTTAGTCCTTTGGCTACTAAACTGGGTATTTCTTCCAAAGCTGTGACCCACTTTGCACCTCTCTCCTCCTGATATAATTCAAGGAGCTCAGTCAATTTAGCAGAACTCTCTACTGCCCCACTGGTTTCCTTCTCTAGATCTTGATCTCTCATCTTGGCAATTTCCATCTCAAAAGTGGTCTTATAGGGGCAACTGAAATACAGAAGGGGTCCAAGCTCCCTATCGAAAGGATCGTAGGTTACAGGTGGCACTCTGGCTAAATCTTCAGCAGTATATTCAATGTCAAAACTTGGGTATTTAAACGTCTCTCGTTCCAAGTCAGCAATTCCATCCTCATCACTTGAAATCTGTTCATAACCATCATCTCCTGAAATGAATGTGTAAAATAACCTTGTTAAAAACACGCTATAAAACTCATGTTTTAACTGTTGATTAGATAAGATAGTATATTTCCTCCCCATTCGTATGTGTGTCCTCCTACACATATATATCCCCCCCCCCGAAGCAATAAATAATGTATTAATTAATTTTCTATTCCAAAAGTTTCTATAAGTCTCAATCACATGGACCTCTAAAAAGGTGCACGTACCACACAAAAATGACTGCCAAGTAAACAAGACCAAGATCGGACTTCAAGTATTCAAAGAGAAAACAAAGAGAAATACTTTGGCTAGCAACAGTTTCTCATGCTTATAAGCTGCCGTTACTAACTCAAAATAGAACACAGATGCTCAAATACATATTAATATGCAGATATAAATTCCAAGAGTCTTTGCAAAAAATATTTGAATTTACTGGCCTACAATCCCAACAGCCTCCCAAAGATTGCAAACAATCTTTATTGCAGCCATACTGAAAAGGTTACACAGTGTTTCTCAACCTTGACAATTTTAAGGCATGTGGACTTCAACTCCCAGAATTCCACAGCCAGCATTGCTGGCTGTGGAATTCTGGAAGTTGAAGTCCACATGCCTTAAAATTGTCAAGGTTGAGAAACACTGGGTTACTAAGACATATTGAACAGCTTCCTTACTTTCTGGCCCTTGTTCAGATGGAATGCCTGTGTTTAGAGTTATTTGACTCTTATTGTATCTTTAACAGGATAGGGGAAGAAAATATACTATATAAGAAAAGATTTATTTTAAAAGAATGCAGAAATGTTGCTAATGTGAGAACATCTCATTATTAAATGTCAGAACAAGGACTAATTAGCCCTAATAGAATAACACTAACTAAAGCACTCACTACTGGGTGGAGTGAGGAAGGATATCAGTACAGCAAATAAATAGCTCAATTTAAGCTTTGGAAAAATTAAATATAATTTCAAAGTATATTTGGGGCTCAACAACTCACATGTGACTGAATTATCGCAAATTATTTGATTATATATCCAATTATTCCCTTTTCACTTACAAATGTTGGCAGCCTCTCTTGTAAAAATGAATACATATTTTCATCCTTTTCTAAAAATTAACAGTTAAATCTTTGTTTCTAAAATTATGTATTTTCAAAATTGGTTCTTAAATACCATAGTCTCAGCTTGCAAGTAAATCAATGATTGACAGTTAACATCAAGCAAGTATTCAATTATATGCATTGAAATATGCAAAACACTGTCAAGAAACTAAACACATTTTTGTGCATTGTATATTTAGTTCCCTCATTTGGACATCAAAACATATTATTAGTGGAGTTATTTTAGAAAGATCCAAAGCTTTTTCTCTCAGATGTGACAATAATGAGAACAGAATTTCCTCCTGGCTACCTGATACAGGCATTGGTTCATCTTCATCGTCATCAGGTGGAGGGGGGGCAGGTGGGCTTCCTGGTCCTCTAGGTTGGCCATCACAAACTAAGCAAAACAGAATTTTCATATACTGCCAACATTGTTTCAAATACAGTGTTCTTTCAATAGGGTCAGGCCAGATATTTATTTGCAAGTCAATGCTTATCCAGCAAGGACAACATAATGTATGCATGCATGAATCAACCCTAGTAGCTTTGTTTTTGCCTACCTTCACCTTCGTCCTCTTCATCACCTTCTTCCTCTTCTTCCTCATCCTCATCATCATCCTCATCTTCATCGTCATCATCATCCTCTTCATCATCCTGAATGCTATCTACTGTTTGACCATCATCATCCTCTTCTTCATCCTCTTCCTCCTCAACATCCGCACCTTCTTCATCATCATCCATTTCTTCTGCTTGTTCTTCCTCCACTTCCGCCTCATCAGAATATGGACCTTCTTGATGAATGGAAGTCCGATCAGGAGAAATGGGCTCAAAATAATCTTCTCTGTGATCAACATCATCATCTTTTTGTCCGGCAACTGAAAATAATGACATTAATAGCAAGAAAATAAATTGAACGCTTGAGGTTTCAATACTAAAAAATTACCTATAATGAAAGTTAAGTAACAAAGATATATGATTTAAAGTTACATTTAAATATACTATTTCAATGCAGATACTGCACTTCCAGATTTAGTTTTACATAATGTGGATGTGGGGATGTGACGATTTAAGAAAAACTGAATGTCAATTCTTTATTAAACATGGAACCATGTACTGTAAATTATTAAGTACTGTATGTGGGAAAGAAAATTCTTAACCCAATGCAGCATGCAATATCAAGTAACCAAATATATTTTGTGCATTGTATATTTGGTTCCCAAATTTGGACATCAAAACATATATTAGAAGGATCCAAAGCTTTTCCTCTTGGCTACCTGATACAGGCATCGGCTCATCTTCATCATCATCAGGAGGAGGGGGGCCAGGTGGGGTTCTTGGTCCTCTAGGTTGAGGCCGGGGAGGGCTGCCATTGAACTGTTCCTCTTTCTCTCCATCAGCTGTAAAAGATGTTTGAGCCAAAGAACAGTAATGTATTTTTTAAATCACACTGCATGATAAACACAAGGCCACATCGTTTTTGCAATTCCTTTCAGTTTTCAAAGCAGTGAAAATGGACTGTTGAGAGTGGGATGGGAGAAACGAAATTAAAATTGATACGAAAACAAAACCCTGGGTCTGGTATCCTGCCCTCTTAAGGATTTAATTTGGGAAGAGAATTAGCTGGCAAAATTCTGAGGCATATGCTGTATTGACACTCATATTTATGAACTTACAGAATGAATTAGTAGTACTGAAAAATACAATTGTTTAACAAAATATGCTTGACTGCTATGAAAGATTTGCTTTTCTAGCCTTTTTGAAGAGAGTTAAAAAGTAGAACAGAATTTCTCACCTAATTTTGGAGTTCTTTTCAAAGCTTGCTGTTGCTGAGGAGGTGGTGGAGGTGGTGGTGGAGGTGGAGGAGAGTCTCTATCATGGCTTACTACTCTATCAACAGAGCCATATATTGCCAGTGTCAAGCAATTATACCAGCCTCTTAAAACTAAGCCATCAGTGTTTACCTGTATTATTCAAAATAAAACACAGAATACAAAATGTGACTTTGAATTAACAGGATCAATTTGATCAGTTGTTTTATGTGTATTGCTTGTTAAAAATCCTATATATATCCAAAATTCTACAGCAGTTTTGAAAATATATGCTTTTTATTTCAAATGTTTTCAGTTCTCATTACCATCTGTCTAAAACAAGAAGCACATTTTTGTCAGGAACGTCTATTAAACTAAGTATCATATAATACTATGAAAAAGAATGAGGCTTGAGAAAAATCTCTTTGCCTCTCTTCTGAATGATTGTAGTATAATGATGCTCAACAATGCAATAAAGTACAGAGAAATCACAAATCATCATTACACACAGCTTTTCCTACAGTTTTCAATTTCTCAAACAATTGCACCAAACCACCCTGTTATATCTCTGATGACTGCCATATCCAAAAAATGCAAAAAAAATCTCTACTCATAAGATTTAAGGCATTATGTAAACAAACAAATTTATGTATATATTTGTGTGCATACACATACGTACACACACAAAAGCCAATCCCTAAACTATTCAATATCCTAGAAAGGCTTCCAATTAAAAATTTAAGTTTCAGAGAGGCTCATGTGGTAGAACATATTTTTTCTGATACTCCAAAGGTTCAACAGATTGGATTAATCTGAATTACACCTGGAAACCAACCAGCAATGAGAAATGTTTATAATCATTTCCTGTTAGTAACCCTTCAGCAGCCATTGAACCAACCGATGGTTCTGAGAAGACGTTGATAGGACACACTGCAAATAATCCAGTCTCTAAAGATTACTTCTGTCCAAAAGTGGTTATCAAAAAGGTACGATATTAACTGACAAGAGGGATAGCATAACAATTTACATAATATTTACCTTTGAATTGGGCCTGAAAATAATTGAGGAGTTTTCATCATACTCTAGGCTGTTAAGCAAAAGAAAATTAGATATTAGGTAATAAACATGCATATTTTTCTCCAACACCTTCTCTTACTAACTAGTCTTGAAATAGGAGCTTCTTACAACCTGTGCTTTTAGAATTAGGCTGACAACTATACATCTGTACACTAAATGGCAGAATACAGGAACTCTATAAACTTTACAGGAGCTTTATAAAACTGCATTTTATTCACTTACTGTAGACTGTGTATCCCAAGGATTGCTTCTTTAAAGTTATACAATAGTACAGTTGGACAAAAATTGGCAATATGACAGCTGAGAAGACCACAGAAATTAATGGTTGCAGGAAATTGTAAGTATGCATTATCAGAATCTCTTTTAAGGAGGAATTGACAATTTTGTTTTTTATATTCCATAATTTTGCAGTTTCAGGTAAAATTTATTCAGTGTTTTATGAAGGAATGTTCTTAGCACTTACCTTCCTAGCCTGTCAAATACAGGTGCGCTTGGTTTGCTGACATTGTTGAAAAACAGGTCTAACTGAAATGTATGGGGAGATGTCTCACTGGGAATAGAGCCAAAGTGAAAAAAAAATCATTTTTTAACCAAATTATGATTAATGAGTAAGTCAAGCCTTGAAAGACTGCTAATCAATCTGCAGGAAGATAAAAAGTTCCCAATTATTAAAAATAGTCAATATTTACATCAATAAACTTTTATTTCATATTTTTTGTAAGATACGGTCCATATTTTTCTCAAATATTTTTATGAGCGGAATGTCAATTGTAAGTTCATGCTTATCTATATGTAAAACTACCTATAGTTTTATTTTTGAATTAAAGCTAATAAAATCTAATAAAATTTAATAATTTATAGAATAAAAAAATATTTTTTCTTTCCATATGACAACTTCTATGACATTTGGCAATGTGTGTGATACTATTCTTTAATCTCAGGTACTTCACTAGCTTGCTGGCTAGTCTTGAGCACAAGTATGTCCACATAAAATCCTGAAGTATTAAAATGTTATCTTTGCAATATACTTTATATTGAATCACTTGACAGTGAGATGGGCAGTGTATAAATTAAATAAATCACGTATTGAATGCAACTATCAATAATCCTCTCTTTCAACTATTGGAAGTTGCTTTTGAAAGGAGTGTAAACCAAAATCTCAGAAGCAAATGTCTATGTCTTCCTTTTCTATCTTGAGTCATGATTTGTAATTTCTGAATTACAAGAATTGACATTAGCCAGAATTGACTCCAAATTATGGCTGGCAAACCTAGCTCAAAAGAAGATTATTTTCTCAGCAATTCTTTTACTCTTTTATCAGCATTGCATAAATCCTGCCATTACTTCAACAGAATTGAAAAATTCTAAGAGCTATAGTTCTTGTCTCAAATTAGTACACAAATCCTTTTCAAAGTTCTTTTATATCTTTGGTTTGTTAAAGCAGAAGTATATTCTATTATATAATGCTGGATGGACCCAGGAAATCTCAGTTCAAGTCTATTGAAAATTTAGCCACATACTTTCACTCTCTGATTCACTACCCCATTTTACAGAAGTTAATATCCCTTCTCATAAGAATAATAGAACATCACAAAGCACTGCATGTTAAAAATGATGTAGAAAACAGTGCTGGACAATCTCTTATACCATTTTTTTACTCACCCATAAGCTCTACTTTCAGGTAAGTTAGAGTGAGCTCTTATTCCTGGAGGAATCACACGCACTTCATTGATGTAAACTACACACGGAAAGCGAACCACGTCTACATTAGTGCTTTGCTAGAAAACAAAATGAACAAAATTCATGAATTTTGAAGTGCAAAGTGTCTTTGTTTTGTTTCATGAGCACTCAAAAATCTGTCAAAATATGCATTTCACACAATCCAGACATTGCCTAAAAGTAACAAGTGTTATAACAATTATAACCATCCATTCTTCCTGACATGTCCAGACATAACATGCCATTTGTAACAGACAATACCATTAAAAACAACACTGCAGAGTTCATTTTTATTTGGCTTTTGTCATTTTAACAGTGCTCCATTTTTCTATGATAAACATTGTAACCCTATGGACTATGCTGTATGTCTGAACACTTAACAAACGTGGACACTTGGCTCACAATTAGTTTTTACTTGTTTTCTTATGCAGAGATATGTCCTCAAGCATGGAATGAATTTGTGATATTGTGAAATTGTAACATAATGTGTGGATGGCCTTGGGAAACATGGGCAAGAGATGCTGCCTAGACTCTCTTAACAGTCAGATAAAGAAATTGAGAAAGACTCTCCCTAATGGATCAGGCATTTAAAAGTGGTGGTGCGAAATTTGTACTTTCAGACGTTTAAGATTCTGTTAATGTAGTCTTTCAATTATGTATACCGTAATTACTTCATCTAGTCAGGTTTCATGTCTGGTTTACCTGGGAGGGCTGACAGGAATCTTGACAAGTACTTGTGGGAAGATCTAATCATAACACTATGTTACGCAACAAATATGCTGCACAAGTTGTGGTGAGAGGAAACATTTTAGTTAATTAATTCATTCATTCATTTAAATTCATTTTAGCCATCAAATTTCAATGGACCTGTTAGGGTCAGAGCCTGATACTATGTTAATAAGCTTGATGAGGTACAGAGGCAGATTATTTGCAGGGAAAAGTCCAGGAGCTGGTTTAAACCAGTGGTTCTCAACCTTTTTAACGCCGTGACCCCAACCGGTCGTAAGTCGAGGACTAAACCGGTCGTAAGTCGAGGACTACCCAACCGGTCGTAAGTCAAGAACTTTCCCTGCCCAGGAGCACCGCGCATGCGTGGTTCCGCCCCCTGCGCCGGCCGAGGCGTATCTGGCAAGCGGCAGAGACGGAGCAGGCCAACCACCAGCTGGCCCAGCCCAAGGGAGGTAAGGCACCCGCCGGAAAAGGGGAAAAAAATGGCGGACAAAAAAAATGGCGGACAAAAAAAATGGTGGACAGCCTTGCTTGGCGACCCCCATGAAATGGTCGATTGACCCCAAATGGGGACCCGACCCACAGGTTGAGAACCACTGGTTTAAACAAAGAGGCTAAATAGAGAAGAAATAAAGATCTGAAAAACATCTGCAGAATGACAAGCAAAGAAAAAAAAAGTGGCAGAAAATAGAGATGATTTAATATTTAGCAAAAATATGGAAAAATTATTCATAAGAATTACTGAAACAATCTAACAATATTTTATGTAAAACATTACTCGCTGCTGAGCTTGCAGCAGTTTCAAATCAACTAATTTAAATAATTAAATTAAGTTGGAGAAGACTCCTAAGAATATCATGGACAGCCAAGAAAACAAATAAATGGATAATTGAACACATTAATACAGAGATCTCATTTGAGGTACAAATGGAAAGGGGCAGATCTAAGATGGCAATGAAATAGCAGATTCTCTGAATTCCGTATGATAGTTTATTTGTGGTAAACAGTCAAAATGATCAAGCTCAAATTATAATAGTTCAGATCAATATATGAAGATCCAGCTCTCTGGAAAAGGCTCTAATGCTGGGAAAGATGGGAGGAAAGAGAAGATCAAGATGACCAGGAGCAAGGTGGATGGACTAAGTTGCAGTGGCAATGAGTGAACTATTCGAAGACTTAAAAGAACACATAGTCCACATAAACAGTCAGACTTATTTCTTAGCATACATTCTTAGGACTGCAGTCAATAGAAAATGAACCTAACTTGTGAATATCTTTTCTTTACAGGATATATCACTGGTTACAGGATATATGACTGGATATATGAGAGAAGTTCAATTATTTCTTAGCAAATTATATTAACATTAAAGGCATAAGTAATTCTTAAAATAAAATGAAAATACTATAGGAAACACAATTGACTGCTTTTAAATTCTACACATTCTAAGAACTCTTAAACATTATAAAATCTTCCCCCAAAAGACATAGCCTGTGATTACTCAGTAAACAATTCTTATGCAATTACAATATTGACATTCTACTGGTGTTAAGAGTATCAATTGGAAAGATAGGATACCATTTTAACAATAAACTAGTAATCATGAGATTGAATCATTTAGTTGGAAAATCAGGGATATTTAGCTCAGTACAGGATCCACTAGTGCACGTTTGATAGTTGATTATCCAACCTCTATTTACAGACCTCCTTATGCTATCCTAAACCGATTTCCTTGTAGTTCTGACCCATTGGTTCTGGTACTACCAATTAAAAATAGGTCCTCTTCGTTTGACATCCTTCTGACTGACATCCACCAGTGTCTTTAGTGATCTCCCCTCAGTCATCTCATCTATAGACTAAATGGTCCCAAATCATTTAACCATTCCTTAGTTGGCTCGCTTTTCAGATTCCTCACAATCTTTGATATAATTTCTTTTTCCCCTTTTCAATATATTTCCTGTCCTTTTAAAAACTGAGATCAAAATAAGCTATCTAATGAAGTATTACATGCTTATACTGAAATATACTAAAATAACATAGCCAAAAAAAATCAACCAGCATACCCTTCATTTGTTAGATATGTGTATCTTGACGGGTAAAAAGCATATTAAAAACCACATGAGCTGGCATTCTCATAATATCTTTTTACTACAATACCCACACTGATCTAAGCACCTAACATTGGGCAAAAGGTTCCTTTTACCTATGTCCTAATATAAGAAAACAGTATGTTAAATTCTTACATCAAAAAAACAGAACTGTACATGTATGTAATCCATACTAATTTTAAATAATGCAATATACCACCTGCACTTCAATATCTCAGAAATCAAATAGGACACAAATCTAATGATTGTATGTAGAGAAATTTATATTCAAAGGTATTTGATTTCTTTTTGCTTATTGTCTATACAGTATTTCAGTGAATCCCATGATTTCTTTCATCTTTATGGTGAACTTAAGCTAAATGTTTAAGATGCTGATTAACACGTGATGATTTTACTGGTGCCATTATTTAACTGGATTACTCATATACAGACATTTCTCCTTTCAAATTTTTACTAATGAAAAGATAGGAACATATTGCTATGAACTACAATCAGGAGACACATATTTCGACTGAAATGATAGCAAAACATGCATTTTGAGAGGACGGGGAGGAGGTTATCCCAAAACAGCAAAACTTTGAAATATCCATCACATCAATACACGGCCGCACATCTATGCATACCTCAACCAGATCGACTTATAAAAAAATAAAAAAAATAAAAAAAGAACGATCGCTACCGTTACGCGAAGCTGATTTCCTTTGTGAAGGCTGCAGAAGGAGCTCTGAAATTAAGACTTATTAATTCCCCACTGATAATGAACATCTCCTCTCAGAACTCAATTTCATCCTATCTGGAAGGCGGGGGGAGGGAATTGGGGGGTGGAGAGACCCACATTGCCTCGGTTACCTCAGTGCTCTGATGTTTGAAAGTATCCAAAAAAAGCAACTCCGTTGTTGCATCCGCCGCCATCTTGCGTCGGCGGAAGCGCCGAACCTTCGGTGACGAGCACTTCCGGAGCAAAGAAAAGGGGTTGGCACGTGGTTTGGACGGTTGCTTTTACTTCTCCCTCCCTCCTCCGCCCCCCCCCCCCAATCATCTGTCTCTTCTTTGTATAAAAAGCAAAATAAAACACCCATGCCTGGAGGTTAAAAATCAGGAAGACGGACAAATTTTGTATATGGGTCGACGAGGTTGTTAAAACCGCCATACAAATCTTCTCTTATCTAGGAATAGTATTATTTGCCTAGGATTGGTTCCGCGTGTGAATTTCGCTTAAGATTTTTTTGAGTAAGCCATCGATGAGCGGGGATGAATTTGTAGGCAAGCGCGCATTTGACAATAAGCAGCCCATATAATAGTGACTTTTGAGATATCCGGCGCCCGCTCAGGGTGCCTTCATTCAGGTATATCTAACTGGGATTCTGTCCAAATGAGCAGCGAGATCGGCTCTTGAATAAACGAGCATCGAACTGAGAAAAGCATTTCTTTAAATCCAGAGAAGGAACCCGATGGCACCTTTTCTGACTATCACATTTTATGAAAAGGCATAAGGTTCCACTCTGTATCGGATGAAGTGAGCATTCGTCGGAAAAGATGCTGCCTAATTTATTTTTTTCTATCATTAACACGACTGTCCTGCTACTATGTTTAAAACCACCTCAGTCCCGAAGTGCGTTGATGTTGAAAATAAACCTCAGGCACTGGGCTTAGTCGAAGCTGGTCTATGAATGTCAGCGCTCGTCCGTAGCCCTCGGGGATTCCGACCTGTGATGTTTCTGTCCCCTGAACGCTTAACAGCCGGCACAACATCCCGAATAGGATATAATATCACAGCTAGTTTCCACGTAAACCCAGAAAATAATTTAGATACCAGGACTTTTAATGCCTGCGGTAACATCTACATAGTAAACCGTGGCAATAAGGAAAGATATTTCCTTATATCAGCTTGCAAAAGGGTGATCCGATGAGCTTCTTCGTAAGTCGATTTAGTTGATGGCAACTGTGTTCTCTGGAACACATGCAGAAATGCGCAGAGTGATTACTCAGTACAGTAAAGGATCTATTCTGATTTATTGTATCTCTCCGAAATCGAGTCTTACCTAAGTTAACGTCTCCAAATGTCCCGTAAGGCACTCCACATACACAGAATAGTTTCTAAACCCTTAGAACTGAATAAAAGGGGGTCAATTTTGTAAGCAAAGTCACTTGGAATGCCTCAAAAAAAAAATGAAGAACAAATATACATAAAAAGGATTTCTGCGTTTAGATGTTCCCATTCCGCCCTCATGCAGAGCTAGGCAGACGTGTTTATTTTTTTACTAGAAGCAGGAACCTGTTGTAAACAATAAAAAAAACAGTTGCTAAACCGAACAGCCATTAAAATGCTTCTAAATACAGATGGTACCTAGAAATTTCGAACCCGTACCATACCCGAGTTCTGCCCTTAAACACAAAATGCAAACTGGAGCTATGCTACTCTTTCTCATCCTGGTACCGTCCAGATGTTGGAGTAACTCTCAAAATCCGTAGCTAGACTAATGGTTGTATGGGCGAGAGATTCGGAAGTTGAAGTCCAGCGGATACTGGAGGGCAACAGGCTGGGGAAGCATTCTTGTCTAACTCTAATTCATTGTAATAATACCTGCTGCTAAAAAAAAGAAAAAGAAACCAAGCCGGGTAGACAGAAATCCTTATTAAAATCAGTCCAGAAACCTACTCAAATCTGCGATCCCAGCTACACCGTATTCTGTAGACCAGTGTTTCTCAACCTTGACAATTTTAAGGCATGTGGACTTCAACTCCCAGAATTCCACAGCCAGCAATGCTGGCTGTGGAATTCTGGGAGTTGAAGTCCACATGCCTTAAAATTGTCAAGGTTGAGAAACACTGCTGTAGACTTTCCCGCTATATCTGGGAAGCGCGTTTAGGGTCTTAAGGGACAGCCGTGTTATCTACCTATCCGTTTCTTACGCTATTCCTTGACGCTACGTCTTGCGTCAGGAGCTTCTCGAACCTGCCGCAACCTGCGGAGAGGCAAGCGGCTGCGCAGACTCCAGAAGCGCGCTTGAAAAGATTTTGATCGCTTTCATGAATGGCAGGCAGTCAAGCAGGGCAGAGCTGCTTCTTTCACCCAAGGAGGGCGGAGCAAGCGAGAGCCTCCGCCCGCCCCTTCCAAAGCAGAGGCGCTGGAACGATTGGCCGCTTACTGCTGGATTTGCCGTGCAAAAAAAGAGGTGATTGGTGGGACCTCAAGCTTCAGAAACTTGACCGCCCAATCCGGCAGCGGCGCTGCCATCCAGCAGCCACCTGTTTCGGCTCTCGCAGCTTCTGTCCCGGATTAAGGTCTTTTTCTCGCCAAGCGAGAAGCTGGACAAAAAGATCAGATAATTGTAGATGGATTGTGACCTGGTTTGAGAGGTAGACAGGCGGAATGCCTTCTCCCTCCTTGGATAAGGTCAGGGGGGGGGGGGAAATGAACGAAAAAAGAGCTCCTAAACCCAGCGTTGATTGCGGAACCCTTTAAAAAATGATGAATTCCACCACTCCGGAGCTTCTGCGCATATGCTGCAGCTAAACGAAAACATCAATCAAGCCGACTTGCTTGGAAGGCACCCCCTTCCCCAAGCTGGGGTCCAACTCCCATCATCCTCGCCGGCCTCTCCAACTGCTGGAGAAGATCAAAGATCAAAGTTGCGGGCTGCTTGGAGAAAGGCTGGCACCCGCCCCTTCCCCCTCTGGAATCTGGGAGTCGCCAGCGCCTTCCTTGTTCACCTGAGGGAAGGAGAGGGCGGCGCCTTGAATGAAGAAACCGAAGACAAATCAGACTCTACCGCGCGAAGATGCGCCCTTCGGAGACTTACTTTTCTTTCCGATTGGGCTGGTTCTTCTGTTGCTTCACTGATGCTTCCTCTGGAAAGCTTGCAAGGCTCTCCCCTTGCCCTCCAGGCTTTAACCCCATCCCAAAGGCCGAGCTGTCGGCCGTCCGGCTTCTTGGCTGAATTTTGAGTTAGCCAGCCGATTTGGAGCGAATTTGACCTTCTTTTGGTAATCCAATGCCCAAATTCAGATAACTAGGTTTAACAATACTACCTTCGCTACTGTACGGGCAAGTTTGCTGTGTCCCGGCGTGTTCGCTCTGCTGTCTTTCAGCGTTGTCAGGTGATCCTATTTTTAACGTTTTATTTGAAAATAAAGCCGCCAGTGCGGTTCCCGGAAGGCACCTGAGCTGCATCTTAGGATGGATAAGTGGAGACAGGATTTACTTAATTCAGTTGGAATACAGCAAATTAACCACCGGCCATATTTACACAATATATAAGGTTAAAATGGGGTTGGTTGGCTAGCTTATGATTCAGTGAATCAATTAGGCAGATTTGGAAGATTGTGGGTACTTAAAATTCAATCCATAGTTGCTCAGAAGGAAGGCCTGGTGAATTGAATGGCCCTTATACCTTAAGAAGGAAGAATTTTAAAAACTTCAGCCAAATGTCATGTGTGCTTATTCCAAAGTAAGTCCTACTAGATTCACTGGAACTTGTGTATCAAATCTGCAGTTTGTTAAATCGACTGGATACAGAGCTATTACCGCCCTAGCATACAATGGCTACCCACTCTGCTTCTCAATTTTAAATGCCTTGGGCAGCTACTATAGCCCTTTTTGTTCCAACTTGTGCCCCTCCCTTTCAAGTATGAGTTAACCATCTTTTATCTCATGACCCACTCCAGAAAAGCTTTTGGATTGCAACATTGAAAGTTTGAAAAGGGGAGCGTACTCTTCGGTGTTTTTACTGCAGCAGACTAAGATAATATCTTAAAATATCTAAAATTGAATGGAGTTTGGTTTCAGGTACCTGAAAATAGCTCAAGCCCTCTAGCATTTCTAATATATTTTGACCTCTAAGCAAGACTACTATCAGAATAGTTTAATGTTAGGTGCATTTAAATTGAGCTTATTTCTACTGGCAGTATTTATATAAAGTTGACACAAACTTAGTCCAGTCATATTTCAGTATAACAATTTTCTACATTAAGAATAGTTAGAGATAAATTGCACTAATGACATAAGTGCAATTTATCTCTAAAGTATCCATAAGCTTGGATTGTTGCCAGCCCAACTTTTCTCCTTTTTTTTTCTTATATGGATATAATAGCTCTATCAGGATTATTAATCCATTGCTGCTTAATCAACCAATTTAAGGTCTCCAAATTTGTTGAACTTCTTCAAGTCAGAGTTGGCTCCTGGCATACAAGTGAATTAGTCCCTACAGTTTTTTAAATAACTTTTTGGAAGTGGTTTGCCATTGCTTCATTCCTAGGGCTGAGAGCGTGTGATTGGTCCAGTTTCACTCCTAATGTAAGACTAGCACTCATAGTCCATGACCTTTTAGCCTTGTGCCTTAACTACTACACCAAATTAGCTCTCATAATTAATTTTTATTTTAATTAAAATTATAGGTGCCGAAGTCCAACATAAATGAAGAACCCCAGAGTGAGACAGCATTATATCCCACGTTCTTCTGGTGTTCCTTAATCTTGCTTTGACATAACTGGTCTTTGTAACAGTTGACATGTTTGAGTGTAATCATGTCGGATTTTTAAAACCCAGTTTCAAGTAACTAAGTTTAGAAGTAAAGCCCTATATGCCTCATTAATTATAACTAGTCTCAGGGAATTGCCCATACCCTATTCCACTTATTTCTGCCATGATTCCAACATTTTATCAGTGTCTCTGGTTCTCCATGTTCTTTCTCCCATTTATAACATAAGTAATCCTTATCATGATTTGTGTGGCTCTGGGTCCCACCCTTAGGTCATTCTGGAAATTTTTGAAGATCTGGTTGTGCTCCTAGACCTTGAGGTTATGGCAATTGTGGAACCTCTTTTTTTGTTTGGTTTTATTTGCATTGTATACAATACTGTATGTAGAAAGACAGTATGGTATAGTGATTAAGACATCAGGCTAAAAATCA